CACGCATCCAATACACGTCAACTGGTGAGTCTAATATTGTCACAAGTGCGCTGATATTATTTATACCATTTTTACAATAATGCAGTAGTATACATAACAGAAAACCTTCTATTTTCTATGAGAATAAAAATTCAAAATGGAAAGCAAAAGTAATGTAATAGGGGCCTAGAGACGTGACTGATGAACAGATAAAATGTTATTTTAGTGCCATGAATGTCTGTCTTGTTTATTCTGAACCCTATTTGGAAATTGGCATCTTTTTAAATTTGTGTGAAATTGCCCAAATTGCCAATTTCTAACCACTTTATTGGGTAGTTGAAATCGGTAAATGGGTGGATTCTTGTACTCAATCGATAGAACAAATGGAGTTCTAGGGAAATAGTCAACTGCAACATTGGAATTGGCCGAAAATAGGGCTCAAAGTGGGTGAAATCGCCCACTTTGAGACCACTAACTTCGCGAGAGCATAATTCCGTAAGTTTTCCATCAAATTTCATACTTTTGGTGTCATTATGATCGGCAAAAGATTCTCTATCGTTTCATAAGAAAAAATAATTTACTTTTTTTTTTAAATTTTTCGACCCTGAGAACGAGTTTGGGAGACGGCCTCTCAACCCTCAAAGGGTTAAGATAAGATTTGATGATTTTTTTAACCCAGAGTAGGGAGGGTTAGCCACTAAGGATAACCCTAGAAAGTGCATCAGCAAGGACTGGCTGTCTTATTTTCATTGTGGTTCTTGAATCTTGATCCAAAGGATGTCACCCATACCAGTTGGCTAACACCCAAGTATGTACTTGCTTCTAGGTGAACAGAAGCAGCAGGTGTAAGGTGACTAACTCCCAGGTACCTACTTACTACTAGGTGAACAGGGACAGCAGGTGTAAGGAAACATGCTCAATGTTTCCACCAGTACTGAGGATTGAAACACGGACACTCGGTACACGAGGCGAGTGCGTTGCCAATCGAGCCACAAGACTCATAACCATAATCTATTCCAATTCTTTCTTGCTGAGTACTAAAATGTGTTTGAGATTAGGCCATTTACTATAGGCACTACGAGACTATGCTCATTCCAATCCCCCCCAGTACTGTAATAGTTTTGGTACCAAACTTTGACAAAAAATCCTAAGATGTTGTGGACACTGGTTGTATACAAAATGAACTTGATATATATTAAGTGTCATGTAGCTCAATTGCTAGCACATTCAGCTCACACTGAGGTCTGGGGTTCAATTCCCCGGTACAGCAGGAAACATTAGGACATGTTATCTCAAGACACTTGCTGTCCATATTCACCCATCAGTAAAATGGGTACCCGAGTGTTAATCTACTGGTGTGGGTTGCATCCTGGGACAAAATTAACCAAATTTACCTGATATGCTTTGCATAACAAGCTGCTTTCTATGTAGAAGTATGTCATTGATGTCAGATAGGCCTATATACCTTGTACTTGTAGAAATAAAGATCTTTTTATTTATTTAATTATTTATCATTCCCGAATCTAATAAAAATAAGACATTACAGAATGAAGACAAGGAATATATACACTAAGAGGTGTTTTTCATTGTATATAAGCCCTTGAAATATGCGAGTATTATCATTTGTGAGATGTCTGTATTAAGCTGATAATGTCTTCAGTGGTTTAAACTAATAAATATACCCAGGTGTTGCACCTGTGTCTTTTTCACTCTACCTGTGACTTAATTTATGTCTGCATAAGTAACTCATTACAGTTGTAACCAGATATAAACACGAGAGTGAAAGGGGCTGGCTTTTATTAGTACCCGAGGTACTGAAGCAAATTCTTGCATAGCTTTGGGGTAAGGTTGGACAAATACATGGGTGATTTTAATAAGGACTTGCCTTGTATGGGCCAGTAGACCTGCTGCAGTGTTCCTCCATTCTTATGTAAATAGTTCATTACCACTGTAACTTGTTTAGTTATGAGAACTTTGTAGTCCAGTTCCTGGACCCATTATGTACCTCTGTAATCTTTTGGCTACCACCCGCACCAGGCAGTTCAACATTCCCCAATAAAAAGTATGTGTGTCAGGGGCCAAAGATTATTCAACTGTCTCCCAGCATACATAAGGGGGATTACCAATAGAACCACCCACACTATGGGTATTACCTGAAGTTTGAGTAAAACGCAAGTGCAACAGTTATCTTTATTTTGAAACGTTTCATCTGCACAGTAGGCTTCTTCAGTCGAGTACAGAAGAGTGAGCAGGAGCAGTAGAGATATAAAGACAATGTCATCAGTCCATCACCCTTGAAGACATAGTTTTGAGGTGGTCAGTCCCTCAGTACAGTGGACCCCCGCATAACGATTACCTCCGAATGCGACCAATTATGTAAGTGTATTTAAGTAAGTGCGTTTGTACGTGTAGGTTTGAGGGTCTGAAATGGACTAATCTACTTCACAATATTTCTTATGGGAACAAATTCGGTCAGTACTGGCACCTGAACATACTTCTGGAGTGAAAAAATATCATTAACCGGGGGTCCACTGTATAAGGATGGGTATGGTGTGACTACCACCCACACCATGATGAATTTCAAGGGTTAAAAGTATGTCTGTTTCCTCCCTTATGGTTGTTTGTATTTAGTTTGATATGTAGCATGTTTATTATATAATTCAGAAAAATATGTGATAACTAAAATAATAAAAATGTCAAAATGGAGTAAATAAATGTAAGACTTGATAGTCCCCCAGAGTGACATACTCCCTAGTTATGGTGTCTACAGCACTACTGCCCTCCCTTACCGTGGCAACTAAACTTTTGTTTATATCAATTAGCTTATAGTAAAATTGGTTTCATTATATGCCATTTCACTTAAAGTTGCAGTTGATAAGTAAGCGAACATTGAGAGTTATGCCGATGCATGTCCTCTATCTAGATATTTAAAAGTCTTTCCATATTTTCCATTCCTGGTTGGGAATTAATATCTTTTTCTCATCAACGTTACAATGAATTTGAGGCTGAATGCCCAGACATGCTGGCATTAAACAGCATGTGTGTGCAAGGCACTCGAAGAATCAGACACTAGGGATACACTACTTTCCAGTCTACTGCTGAACCCTTTTACGCACTGCCATTATGGTGAATAGCACTCTTCGGCATGAATTTCTAACCATTCCCTTCAATCCTTATATCATGGCTATAAAACTTTTCACCCTTCATGAGTATTATTATTTACACTACCTATGCACCACCAAATTCCAACATAAACATTAATGATCTAAGTCTTCTCTTTAACCGACACCAACATATACACTGCCTCCAACCTCCTCACTGTAATATTCACCACCCAAGCTTCACACCCATATAAGAGTGTTGGCACCATTATACTCTTATACATTCCCTTCTTTGCTTTCATGCATAATGTTCTTTGTCTACAGACTCCTCAGTGCACCACCCACCTTTTTTTTTTCCTTCATCAGTTCTGTAGTTTACTTCAGCTTTTATAAACCCATCTGACAAATATCTGAACACATTCACTTCCTCCCTTTAATCTGACATCAAATTCTTCGTTACCTAACTCGTTTGATACCCTCATCACTTTACTCTTACTTATGTTCACTTTCAACTTCCTTGACATTCCCTCCCAAACTTGTGTAATAACTGTTGCAACTGCTCTTCAGAATCTCCCGAAAGCACAGTATTATCAGCAAAAAGTAACTGTGCCCACTCCCATTTTGTGTTCAATTCCACATATTTTAATCTCAACCCCACCTATAAATAAGTTACACAACCATGGTGACATCACACATCCCTGTCTAAGACCTACTTTTACTGGAAAATAATCTCCCTCTCTCCTACACACCATAACCTGAGCATCACTCTCTCATAAAAACCCTTAACAGCATTTCATAACTTACCACCTATTCCATACACTTTCAACATTTGCCATGCTGCTTCCCTATATAATCCCTCCTTGGTGTGCTCAGAGCTACTTGTTAAGCAGTACAAAAACCCAGTAAAGTGTTCACATTAAGACACTTATCAGAGATCAGCCCAACTAGGAAAACACTTTCAGACTTAAGTGTCTTTACATGGAATGGCAGACAGACAGAGCAAAGCCTTTAATATAAATATTCACTGCTTAATGTTACTTGATAATGCTGTTGCTGAGCAAAGCATCATTTATAATTAAATTTATGGGTGATGCACTAAACTTGTAAGGATCATACAGTACCTGGGGAAATGGGTGGCACTGAGGTTGTATCCAAGGAAAGACATGCTCTATGTGTCAGCTTACTGTTGTAGCTTACAATCTTCAGTGATATCACAGATAACCTGTTTTGCTATTATAATCAAAAAGAAGCACTAAACCTTAAGGGTTATACAGCGCTGCAGGGCAGGAAGGAAGCGAGGGTATCAGGTGGCAAAAGGGAGAGGGATTAGTAGGTTATGGAGAACAACGGGGCAGTGGATAGTGCAGGGGTAGAGGATAGCAAGAGATTGAGGTAGAAGGGGCGGAGGGGAGTGCAAAAGGTATCATCATCAGAGTTTGTGGAGTAAATCAGTTGTCAAGAAGTCAATGAGAGTGTCAAGATTAAAACAGATAACCTGTAGTGATATCACAAACAACCCGCAGTGATATCACAAATAACCCGCAGTGATATCACAAATAACCCGCAGTGATATCACAAATAACCCGCAGTGATATCACAAATAACCTGCAGTGATATCACAAATAACCCGCAGTGATATCACAAATAACCCGCAGTGATATCACAAATAACCCACAGTAATATCACAACCCGCAGTGATATCACAAATAACCTGCAGTGATATCACAAATAACCCACAGTAATATCACAACCTGCAGTGATATCACAAATAACCCGCAGTGATATCACAAATAACCCGCAGTGATATCACAGAGTACAGATATCTTTTAAACTGTTATATTCTGGTGAGTCATAAGAAAAATCTGGGAATACTATTTATATTATAGGATAATAACTGCAATATGTATAAATTGTATTTATTTTTATTAAAGTATATTCAAAAATACACTGATACTCTAGTTAAACATTATAAAGTGTAACACTTCCAATGCTATTACTATACAAAAATTTGAAGCCACTAAAGTAATGAGTGTTAGTAACTCTCAGGATATATATACCAGCTTCCACTGTTCTTCTCTCACCAGCTGACTGAGGGACAGCTGGGTGGAGAGGACTGAACAAGGAAATTAATGCTTATAAAATGTCGGTTTCCCTTACATCATGGAAAATACTTAATACCTATATCACAGGAAATACTTATTAATACTTATTAATATATTTATAGATGGGGTTGTAAAAGAAGTAAATGCTAGGGTGTTCGGGAGGGGTGGGATTAAATTATGGGGAATCAAATTCAAAATGGGAATTGACACAGTTACTTTTTGCTGATGATACTGTGCTTATGGGAGATTCTAAAGAAAAATTGCAAAGGTTAGTGGATGAGTTTGAGAATGTGTGTAAAGGTAGAAAGTTGAAAGTGAACATAGAAAAGAGTAAGGTGATGAGGGTATCAAATGATTTAGATAAAGAAAAATTGGATATCAAATTGGGGAGGAGGAGTATGGAAGAAGTGAATGTTTTCAGATACTTGGGAGTTGACGTGTCGGTGGATGGATTTATGAAGGATGAGATTAATCATAGAATTGATGAGGGAAAAAAGGTGAGTGGTGCGTTGAGGTATATGTGGAGTCAAAAAACGTTATCTATGGAGGCAAAGAAGGGAATGTATGAAAGTATAGTAGTACCAACACTCTTATATGGATGTGAAGCTTGGGTGGTAAATGCAGCAGCGAGGAGACGGTTGGAGGCAGTGGAGATGTCCTGTCTAAGGGCAATGTGTGGTGTAAATATTATGCAGAAAATTCGGAGTGTGGAAATTAGGAGAAGGTGTGGAGTTAATAAAAGCATTAGTCAGAGGGCAGAAGAGGGGTTGTTGAGGTGGTTTGGTCATTTAGAGAGAATGGATCAAAGTAGAATGACATGGAAAGCATATAAATCTATAGGGGAAGGAAAGAGGGGTAGGGGTCGTCCTCGAAAGGGTTGGAAAGAGGGGGTAAAGGAGGTTTTGTGGGCGAGGGGCTTGGACTTCCAGCAAGCGTGCATGAGCGTGTTAGATAGGAGTGAATGGAGATGAATGATACTTGGGACCTGACGATCTGTTGGAGTGTGAGCAGGGTAATATTTAGTGAAGGGATTCAGGGAAACCGGTTATTTTCTTATAGTCGGACTTGAGTCCTGGAAATGGGAAGTACAATGCCTGCACTTTAAAGGAGGGGTTTGGGATATTGGCAGTTTGGGGGGATATGTTGTGTATCTTTATACGTATATGCTTCTAAACTGTTGTATTCTGAGCACCTCTGCAAAAGCAGTGATAATGTGTGAGTGTGGTGAAAGTGTTGAATGATGATGAAAGTATTTTCTTTTTGGGGATTTTCTTTCTTTTTTGGGTCACCCTGCCTCAGTGGGAGACGACCAACTTGTTGAAAAAAAAAAAAAATATATATATATATATATAAAATATCTACATAGCAGACAATGAGGTTCATCATTCCCAAATTTTTGATTCCTTAAATTTTTATTAAATTCATTGCTTGAAATACCAAGTTTTTGAGATATTTAATTTTTGAGTTGAACAAAATCATACTTCACAAGGTCACATTATATAAGAGTCCACTTGTTAATGTTTGACCGACTATATTATGCAAATTATTATTATTATTATTATAATCAAGGGGGAAGCACTAAACCTGGAGGATTATACAGCGCCTGGGAGGGGGGATGTGGAAGGCATTCAGGCTTAATTTGGGGAACTGGAGCACAGATCCAATTTCCTAAATCAAGAGCCCCTCACCAACATTATATTATGCAAAGTCAGTGATTATGTATGAATGATAAAAGTGTTGACTGCCTCTGAGAGAGCCCCTCAAGGAAGGTTCCTTGATGTTGGTGAGGGGCTCTTGATTTAGGGAATTGGATCTGTGCTCCAGTTCCCCGAATTAAGCCTGAATGCCTTCCACATCCCCCCCCCCCCAGGTGCTGTATAATCCTCCGGGTCTTGCGCTTCCCCCTTGATTATAATAATAATACAGTAATCTGAGAGAGAGCAGACATGTTAAAAAATAAATCATGAATAAATCTACAATCATATGTATCAGAGACAGTCTGCTCAAATAAGGTAAAATTACATTTTTTCAAGTTAATAAATAACTAACTTGCTACATAATGCCTTTATTGTAGCAAGTCTGCTGCTTAGTTTTAAATATAGAAAAAGTCTTAGGTTTAAGATCAATGACATTTATACTCAGTTTACTGCCTGTCTCAGATTTAAATATTCCCAGGGTTCATTTAGCAGTACAGTGTTGTTATATATTTTATGATACTGGGAAATTTTTTTCAGAAATCTATATATAATTTTAGTGGACGATGAGCAACTTGCTGGTTTATCTTAGAAAACATCACAGATTAATGAAAAAGTTTAACAAAAATTCATGAAAAAATAACCTCCAATATAGTATATGAAATTCAATATACAATAATTGATCAACAAAACTTATTCTAAGACTGATATTTTTTTACAATAGTCTTGTGTACACTTGTTAAATAAACTTTTTTTATCAGCAATATGTATGTGTGGATTTCCCCACTAAACTTCACTAATTTGGAGGGATATGTTGTGTATCTTTATATGTGTATGCTTCTAGACTGTTGTATTCTGAGCACCTCTGCAAAAACAGTGATAATGTGTGAGTGTGGTGAAAGTGTTGAATGATGATGAAAGTATTTTCTTTTTGGGGATTTTCTTTCTTTTTTGGGTCACCCTGCCTCGGTGGGAGACGGCCGACTTGTTAAAAAAAAAAAAAAAAAAAAAAAAAAAAATCTACATAGTATTTACTTTACATAGGAATATCTCAGCTATACATTATTTACAAATTATTTTTGTACATGGTTTCAACAATATGCAAAGTCTGTAAATATTAATTATCAAGAGGCAAGTGATCCTTTGCAAAAAGGTATTTAACTTCCACACTATTATAAACTTTAGAAGTGGTGGCACCTTGGGGATTGATGCCCCTCAAAATTCCCTCAGCCCACCAAAACCCACAATAAAAATGATAAAAGGAAGCAAATGACTATGATAAGGCAAGATCATGGGTGTACAGTACTATATTCACTTTGTGGTCACACAGTAACAAAGCTACACAGCAGGTGTATCTTGCAGGTGTACAGAGTAACAAAGCTGCACAGCAGGTGTAACTTGCAGGTGTACAGAGTAACAAAGCTACATAGTAGGTGTATCTTGCATGTCTACAGAGTAACAAAGCTACACAGCAGGTGTACCTTTCATGTGAAGTGTTAAAATAGTGTGAAAGTGGTGGACGCTCAGACATCCATCCACTAGTGTGGAAACAGCTATGATACTTAATTACCTCAATGACTTCCACATTGTCTAGTTACAAAAATCAATGAATCATTTATCTGAGTTGCCATAGGTGAACCGCTTTATTTTCTTTTATTAAACCAGAACGGAAATTGTACAAGTGGTGACTAAGAATATTCTATAACTTAATTCTTAACATATTCCATAATAACAATAGTAAAATATATCTTGCATTCATAAGAGTCGTAAGAGGCGACTAAAATGCCAGGAGCAAGGGGCTAGTAACCCCTTTTCCTGTATATATTACTAAATTTAAAAGGAGAAACTTGCATTTTTTCTTTAGGGCCACCCTGTCTCAGTGAGATATAGCCGGTTTGTTGAATGATGATAATGATGATGTTGCTGTATCTTGTGAAGGGATTCAGAAAAACCAGTTAGCCAGACTTGAGTCCCTGAAATGGGAAGTACAGTGCCTGTATTCTAGAAGAGGAGTTTGGAATATTTGCTGTTTTGAGTGACATCTAAACTGTTGAATCTGTGCGCCTCTGGCAAAACAGTGATAATGTGAATGATGGTGAAAGTGTTTCTTTTTTGGGTCACCCTGCCTCGGTGGGAGACGGTCAGAGCATTAAAAAATGTTGGTGTCATTGGATTAATTCAAACATGATGGATTAAGTGTGGGAGTAAAGAAGATCTTCAATCTTTGCACAGGAGTAGAGGAGAAGATGAAGGAAATATTGCAGACAGGAAAAGCACAAAAGAAAATGACTACTGTCATTGAAGAGATGGGACATAACCTGTAAGAAGACCTCAAAAGATAAAGACAAAACTAGAGATGAAGAAGGAAAGGCAAGTGAGATACTAGTACCAAATACAACAGGTAGAGAGTCAGAATGCAAGGCAGAGAGGGTAAGGAAGACCTAAACAGAAATGCTCTCAAGAAACCAGGAGAAACCATACCACGGGCGGGATTGAACCCGCGGTCAGAGTGTCTCAAAACTCCAGACCGTCGCGTTAGCCACTGGGCCAGCTAGCCACAATAAGATTCGTCCAACTAGGTATATTTCTACACCATAGGAAAGTTAGCATAGGCACCACTGTGACCACAAATGCAAGTTTTTACAGATGAATCTCCAGCTAGCGTGGCCGTGACGAACTCTAGCTAACACGACGGTCTGGAGTTTTGAGACTCTCTGACCGTGGGTTCAATCCCGCCTGTGGTATGGTTTGTTTGCAATCATGTCATTACTATTTCATGAAACCAGAAGGTGAAGGAATGATTCAGGAAGCAGCAGCGGAAATGATAAAAGACAATGAATCTTGGAGGAAGAGGAAACGAGAGGTCACTGATTATCCATGGCCTTCAGGAGACAAGGGATGACACCTGATACCATATTGGCAGTGGATGACTGGTAGATACATATCACTGAACAGACAGGTGGTGAGGCTGAGGTATGTGAGGTGGCAAATTTTCAGAGAACTGGGAAATATGCAGAAACTGACCCTTGCAATAGAAATGGCATAAGATGGGGTCTTGAGGTGGAAGAGGTGTCATGTGCATCTCAACCAGGACACAACACTAAAAGAGAAGGTACAGCTAAGGGAGAGAATAAACAAAGACAGTGAGTAGAACCAGTAAAAGCAATGAAGAATAAAAAGTCACAATACCATGACTGGAACAATACACTAGTCACACTAATTAACCCTTCAACTGTCCAAACGTAGATCTACGTTCACTTGCCCAGCGCTCCAAATATTTTGAAAAAAAAAAAAAAAAAAAAATTAAATTAAAGAGGGCAATTATTTTCTGCAAGTTGTAAGACCAAAACCGAAAATTTTTTAGGACCAGTACTTAATGAGATATAAGACTGCAAAGTTGGCCCTGGATGCTCACCTGACGGCAACAACGAGTCCTGCCGCTTGCAGAAGTGTTGCCAACATACCTTTCTTTGTTTTTATTTTAATTTATATAATTTTTAGGTTCTGACAATTACAATTTATAATAGTTCTTGTGATTTCATAGCCAATGTTTGTTCTGACACTAATATTAGGTACTGAAATAGTACTCAAATAGTCACAATCACACCGACAGGTGAACATTTTCACCTACCTTGGTCATTTACTGTTTTCTAGAAATATATACAAAGTATTTATAGGTCTCAGCAATGTTGTAGATATGCTGGAGTATATATGAAACTTCTTGAAGCATGGTGTTTATGACAAGTGTCACTAAACTGCTAACAGGGTAAGAGTGGAGTGATACCATGATAATGCATTGCTGCAGGGAACCTGCTTATACAGTGGGTCTTTCTGTCTGCCTGCCTGCCTGTGTGTGTGTGTGTGTGTGTGTGTGTGTGTGTGTGTGTGTGTGTGTGTGTGTGGTGTGTGTGTGTGTGTGTGTGTGTGTGTGTGTGTGTGTGTGTGTGTGTGTGTGTGTGTGTGTGTGTGTGTGTGTGTGTGTGTGTGTGTGTGTGTGGTGTGTGTGTGTGTGTGTGTGTGTGTGTGTGTGTGTGTGTGTGTGTGTGTGTGTGTGTGTGTGTGTGTGTGTGTGTGTGTGTGTGTGTGTGTGTGTGTGTGTGTGTGTGTGTGTGTGTGTCTGTCTGTCTGTCTGTCTGTCTGTCTGTCTGTCTGTCTGTCTGTCTGTCTGTCTGTCTGTCTGTCTGTCTGTCTGTCTGTCTGTCTGTCTGTCTTTCTGTTTGCTTGTGTGTCTGTCTGTCTTTCAGTCTGCTTGTCTCTCAGTCTTGGACAGCGGCTCATAAACCAACAGGAATTACACACGATGCAGTAGTCACATCTGATTCCTGATGAAGTGAAAATGCTCATTACTTGCCACTGAGTTGCCAATCATGCTTATTATGTTTTATATCTACAAGCATTGTATAGCACTTTGCCTGGAATTTTTTGGGTTATCTTAGGTAATTTACACTATGTATAATAACTGTACTTACGTGTACATGTGAGAGAGAGACAGACAGAGATATAGAGACAGATACAGACATAGCCAGTCAGCCAGCCAAAGCTAGCCAGCCAGCCAAAGCCAGCCAAAACCAGCCAGCCAGCCAAAGCCAGCCAAAACCAGCCAGCCAGCCGAATACATATTACACATGTTCCAGAATTGTTTCTCTTTACTTATGGCATAGGTTATAGGGCATTCTGGCAGGATGACACTACCAGTGGTATCAAAAATGAAAGGATGTTGCACAAATGTTACACGTGGGTTATCGAGGTTTTTGATATTTCCTCGACCATTTGTGGCCACATCCATCATTTTCCTCTTAAAAGTGGAGTGTTAGTATGACATGACATCAGTGAATCCCTGGTGTTTGCCATGCTATTTGCTCTAGCTGGTGCTCCCACAAGGTACTAAGTGGTCCCAGATTTTTTAATACTGCACACACTGAGTGTTAAGACCCATTCTATACTGACCAGATATCTCAGGCCAATCATGCCAAATTTGGAGGCAGGGAAAATAAAATGTAGCTCTACGTTTGGAGCGTTAGTGGTACAAACGAATTCTATGTTTGGACAGTTTAAGGGTTAATGATCCGAGTTGAATCAAAATGTTGTCATAAGTTTCGTTCTCCCATGTGTGCATTATTGGTGCAGTGAAAACAATGATAGGTGCAGAAGCCTCACATCCAGACGCACATCATGCTCAGCCACAAATAACGCATCTATCCCCCAACCTCTCTTCCCATTCAAAATAACAATAACAAACCATACCCTACCCCTCCTCCCCCACCTCACAACCACTGCCAGCTCCTTGTTCCCCACCCTCCCTATCCTCCTCCACCTCACAAACACTGCCATCTCCTTGTTCCCCACCCTCCCTATCCTCCCCCACCTCACAAACACTGCCATCTCCTTGTTCCCCACCCTCCCTATCCTCCTCCACCTCACAACCACTGCCATCTCCTTGTTCCCCACCCTCCCTATCCTCCTCCACCTCACAACCACTGCCATCTCCTTGTTCCCCACCCTCCCTATCCTCCTCCACCTCACAAACACTGCCATCTCCTTGTTCCCCACCCTCCCTATCCTCCCCCACCTCACAAACACTGCCATCTCCTTGTTCCCCACCCTCCCTATCCTCCTCCACCTCACAACCACTGCCATCTCCTTGTTCCCCACCCTCCCTATCCTCCTCCACCTCACAACCACTGCCATCTCCTTGTTCCCCACCCTCCCTATCCTCCTCCACCTCACAACCACTGCCATCTCCTTGTTTCCCACCCTCCCTATCCTCCTCCACCTCACAAACACTGCCAGCTCCTTGTTTCCCACCCTCCCTATCCTCCTCCACCTCACAACCACTGCCATCTCCTTGTTCCCCACCCTCCCTATCCTCCATCACCCACACTTATGGTTGCACCCTTTTCCAGTACCCACTCCTCCCCTGACACATTGGAAAGAACTGGGGGAAGATGATCTTGAAAATCCAAACACAAAAACAAAAACATTGTAGTATACTAATGCAGATGGGATAACAAATATGAATGAATGTAAATAGTAGTACTTAAACAATTACAGTGGACCCCCGGTTAACGATATTTTTTCACTCCAGAAGTATGTTCAGGTGCCAGTACTGACCGAATTTGTTCCCATAAGAAATATTGTGAAGTAGATTAGTCCATTTCAGACCCCCAAACATACACGTACAAACGCACTTACATAAATACACTTACATAATTGGTCGCATTCGGAGGTGATCGTTATGCGGGGGTCCACTGTACTGTTTATTTTTTTTAACACACTGGCCATTTTCCACCAAGGAAGGATGACCTGAAAAAAAGAAACACTTTCACTATCACTCACTCCATCACTGTCTTGCCAGAAGTGTGCTGATACTACAGTTCAAAAAATGACTAAAAGGAAACCGAGTCAGAGATGTTCCTGTTTGTAGATGTGAAACTAATGAGAATACAAACAGAAGCAGAACAGCAAAGACAACAAATGGATCTGGTCAAGCTGTAGAATTGGTCTGACAAGTGGCTATTAGATTTTAACCCATACAAATGCAAAGTTAGGAAATTCAGGGAAGAGCAAAAATAACCAGAAGCAGAATACATTATCAGTGGACAATGACTGCAAACCTTCCTGGAAGAGAAGGAACTCAGGATAAGCATAGTCCCTAAGGTACACATCAATCAAATAACTGCTGAAATAAACTCATGGTTGGCAAATTTAATGATAGTTTTCAGGAACCTCAACAAGGCATTCATGACCCTATACATGACATGTCAGGCCCATCTAAAGAGTATGAAATACCAATATGGAACCCACATCTGACAAAGCTTGTAAAGTAGCAGGAAAAAGTGCAAAGATCTGCAATCAAACTAGTCCCAGAGCTGAGGTGTATGAGCTATGACAAGAGGCCAGAGGAGCTAAACTAATTACACTAGAGGACAGAAAGGCCAGACATGACAATTATGGAGTACAAAATACTAAGAGGAATTGACAGGGTAGACAGTCTGCGAGGCAGGTCTCAGGTACATGAGGTCACAGCTGGAAGTAAAGACACAAATGAGTCACAGGGATGTTAGGAAATACTACTTTAGCCTTTGAGTAGCCAAGAAGTAGAATGACCTAGACAGCAAAGTGGTAGAGGTGGGATCCACATACAGTTTTAAGAACAGGTATGATAGGACTCGAACAGCCAAGAGTGAACTCAGTGGCAGCCAGCAGAAGGGCAGGGCCTACAGCTGAAACTCAACCACAATTAAGCGAGTGCCTGCACATTCATACATTATGAATGTGCAGGCACACAAAAACACGCATGTGTTCATGTACACACATACATACAAACACATACACACAAGTCAATGAGCAATGCAAAAATAACTTGTTAAAAAGTGAAGTTATTGGTAAAATGACCTGTAAAATGTTATAATCAAAAACAATAATTAAAAAGTAAATCATGAATTTTTCCAGTCAGTATCTATTTTTACTTTTGATAATGTTATTATTCCAAGGACTTTTTGCATGATTGAGAGGTGCTTGTTGTTTATTGTAGATGCTAGTACCACCATGATGGCTACTGTAGATGCTAGTACCACCATGATGGCTACTGTAGATGCTAGTACCACCATGATGGCTACTGTAGATGCTAGTACCACCATGATGGACTACTGTAGATGCTAGTACCACCATGATGGCTACTGTAGATGCTAGTACCACCATGATGGCTACTGTAGATGCTAGTACCACCATGATGGCTACTGTAGATGCTAGTACCACCATGATGACTACTGTAGATGCTAGTACCACCATGATGGCTACTGTAGATGCTAGTACCCCCATGATGGCTACTGTAGATGCTAGTACCACCATGATGGCTACTGTAGATGCTAGTACCACCATGATGGCTACTGTAGATACTAGTACCCCCATGATGGCTACTGTAGATGCTAGTACCCCCATGATGGCTACTGTAGATGCTAGTACCACCATGATGGCTACTGTAGATGCTAGTACCCCCATGATGGCTACTGTAGATGCTAGTACCACCATGATGGCTACTGTAGATGCTAGTACCACCATGATGGCTACTGTAGATGCTAGTACCCCCATGATGGCTACTGTAGATGCTAGTACCCCCATGATGGCTACTGTAGATGCTAGTACCACCATGATGGCTACTGTAGATGCTAGTACCACCATGATGGGTGCTGTAGATGCTAGTACCCCCATGATGGCTACTGTAGATGCTAGTACCACCATGATGGCTACTGTAGATGCTGGTACCCACATGATGGGTACTGTAGATGCTAGTACCCCCATGATGGCTACTGTAGATGCTAGTACCACCATGATGGCTACTGTAGATGCTAGTACCATGATGGCTACTGTAGATGCTGGTACCCACATGATGGCTACTGTAGATGCTGGTACCCACATGATGGCTACTGTAGATGCCACTACCCCCATGATGGCTACTGTAGATGCTAGTACCACCATGATGGCTACTGTAGATGCTAGTACCACCATGATGGCTACTGTAGATGCTAGTACCACCATGATGGCTACTGTAGATGCTAGTTTCCACCATGATGGGTACTGTAGATGCTAGTACCACCATGATGGCTACTGTAGATGCTGGTACCCACATGATGGGTACTGTAGATGCTAGTACCACCATGATGGCTACTGTAGATGCTAGTACCACCATGATGGGTACTGTAGATGCTGGTACCCACATGATGGGTACTGTAGATGCTAGTACCACCATGATGGCTACTGTAGATGCTAGTACCACCATGATGGGTACTGTAGATGCTGGTACCCACATGATGGGTACTGTAGATGCTAGTACCACCATGGCTACTGTAGATGCTAGTACCACCATAATGGGTACTGTAGATGCTGGTACCCACATGATGGGTACTGTAGATGCTAGTACCACCATGATGGCTACTGTAGATGCTAGTACCACCATGATGGCTACTGTAGATGCTAGTACCCACATGATGGGTATTGTAGATGCTAGTACCCACATGATGGGTACTGTAGATACTAGTACCCTCATGATGGGTACTGTAGATACTAGTATCCCCATGATGGCTACTGTAGATGCTAGTACTCCTATGATGGGGACTGTAAGAGACATGTGGAGATAGGGATGTCAGATGTGGAAGATGGTGACACTGACTCACCAAGCTAACACAAGCCCATACATCTGACTGCACAGTGACAACATCTCTGACTCACTTGCAGACTGTCAAGACTAGAATGTGTGTTGTGATGCATTAAGGTACATTCAGCAGGTGATTTTCATATCTTGGAGACTTTGACAGGTGCCTGAAATATGCAAAGATGGGGAAAATCCATTATCCACAATTTTTTTCTATAATCATTAGATTAAAAAATAAAGTAAATACGAAACATTTTCTTATAGTCGGACTTGAGTCCTGGAAATGGGAAGTACAATGCCTGCACTTTAAAGGAGGAGTTTGGGATATTGGCAGTTTGGAGGGATATGTTATGTATCTTTATACGTATATGCTTCTAGACTGTTGTATTCTGAGCACCTCTGCAAAAACAGTGATAATGTGTGAGTGTGGTGAAAGTGTTGAATGATGATGAAAGTATTTTCTTTTTGGGGATTTTCTTTCTTTTTTGGGTCACCCTGCCTCGGTGGGAGACGACCGACTTGTTGAAAAAAAAAAAAAAAAATGAAACATTTACAATACAGGTTGGCCATCACTAATCCGGCATCACTGGGACATGTAATGTGCCGGATTAGTGAGTTTGCCGGATTACAGAGTGGTTAGGTTAGAATACACTTAATTAACCTATCAATAGAGACACTTTCTGCTACATCTTCATTTTCATCACTGCTTTCTCCTCCACTGGCTTGCTGCTGTGGATTTACAACCATCTGCACAATTTCTGAGTCAGTATAATGATGGAATTGGAGTCAGTATAATGATTTGAGGCAGTACAATGATGAAATTTGAAATTATGCTAGCCAAAATTAGTGCTGGATTACTGATGGAACTGGATAACTGATTGCCGGATTAGTGATGGTCAACCTGTACTAATATAATGTATTTAAGTTTATATGGTACACTGGTATGTGAAGGTAGAAGCTGACTGTGTTTTAAAATTATACACAAAGTCACAATAAAATGAACATGTAATACTGTTCTCTACAAGGAAGTGGAAAAAGTTCTTCCTCAGTAGGTCATGCGTGCCGTAAGAGGCGACTAAAATGCTGGAAGCAATGGGCTGTATATACTGATAAATTTAAAAAGAAAAACTTTCAGTTTTCTTTTTAACCTTTAACCCTTTGACTGTTTCGGTCGTACATATACGTCTTATGAGCCAATGTGTTTGACGTACGTATACTCAAAAATTCTAGAGGCTTCAGATCAAGCGGGAGAAAGCTGGTAGGCCCACATGTGAGAGAATGGGTCTGTGTGGTCATTGTGTGCAGTATAAAAAAAAAATCCTGCATACAGTACAAAATGAGAAAAAAACTCGGACCATGTTTTTGGATTAAAACGCCAACTTTGAGGTGTATTTTTGTATAATATTTATAGTTATATTCTCATTTTCTTGTTCTCTTTTGATGGAATTGAAGAAATTTATAGAAATAGAGATGATTTTGATTGATTTCATTATGAAAAGGACCTTGAAATGCTACTCGAAGTAGCAGAACTATTCAATTTTTGCCAATGTTCAAGAGTAAACAAATGACATCATTGTCCAATAAATGTCCAACTAGCCATTCTAATACGCAGTCACGAATGGGTTGACATTAGTTATACAATTATTACAGTAATGCACAGTCTGCATAATAGTAAATCTTCTATTTTTTGAGTGAATAAAAATTCAAAATAGAAAGCAAGAGTAAAATAAAAAAAAAGGCAATTTTCTAGGCAATTTTCTATGTGTAATAAGATAAAAAAAAATTAGCACCAGTACTTATTTAGATATAAGGTGAAGTTGGCACTGGATGCTCACCTGATGGCAACATGGCATCCTGCCATTTGTAGAAATGTTGCCAATTGTGGCATGCAAAGAATATGTTACAATTTATTCGGCGTATGTCACACTACCATATAGGCCGCCACCCAACCAGCGAACTGGGTGCTAAGGGTTTAACGTTTGATAGGGTACCTGTCGTTAAATCGGTACCTTGGTTCATTAACCAATCACAGGTAAGCCCGTCAAAGCTGAGGCAATGTGGTTCACTTGTGGGAAGCACTGGCAGACTTGCCTACCTGCAGGCTGAGTATGGTGCCTCTGGCTTCTGCTTTGCCATCTGTCACCGTGATGTACACTTACTATTATTCTATCTGTACATAGTGTACATATCTGTATACGGTGGGTGAAGGCAAGATATACATTATAGTCTACTGCTGAGTTTGTTTGCTCCAATTTGATTGAAAACTTATGGAATTATGCTCTTGTGAAGTTAGCGATCTCGGCGACATTTACTCATCAGCGATTTTGCCCACTTTGAGCCCTATTTTCTGCCACTTTCGTTGTTCCAGTCGACCAAACTCATAGCTATTTCTTTAGAACTCCATTTGTTCTATCCACTGAGTACAAGAAACTGCCCATTTACCGATTTCAACTATCCAATAAAGTGGTCATTGGCAAATTGGCCAATTTCATGCAAATTAAAAAAGATGTCAATTTCAAAATAGGGTCCAGAATGAAATGAACAATGCAGACATTTCTGGTACTAAAATGACATTTTCTCTGTTCATTAGTCACATCTCCAGGTCCCTCTTATATTACTCTTGCTTTCTATTTTGAATTTTTATTCCCACAAAAAATAGAAGATTTACTGTTATGCAAACTACTGCATTATTGTAATAATTGTATAACTAATGTCAACCCATTCATGACTGCGTATTAGAATGGCTAGTTGGACACTTATTGGACAAAGACGTCATTTATTTACTCCTTAACATTGGCAAAAATTGAACATTTCTGCTACTTTGAACTCAATTTCAAGGTCCTTTTCATTGTGAAACCAATGAAAATCATCTCTATTTCTGTAACATGTCTTCCATTCTATCAAATGAGAACAAGAAAATGAGAATACAACCATAAATACTTTATGAAAATACACCTCAAAGTTGGCGTTTTAATACAAAAACACGGTCGGAGTTTTTTCTCATTATGCACTGCGTGCTACAGGATTTTTTTTATATACTAAGCACACTGACTACACAGACCCATTCTTTAATATGTGGGCCTACCAGCTTTCCCCCCACTTGATTTGAAGCTGCTAGAATTTTGGAGTATAAATACGCCAAAAACACTGGCTCGTAAGACATATATACAGTGGACCCCCGCATAACGATTACCTCCAAATGTGACCAATTATGTAAGTGTATTTATGTAAGTGCATTTGTACGTGTATGTTTCGGGGTCTGAAATAGACTAATCTACTTCACAATATTCCTTATGGGAACAAATTCGGTCAGTACTGGCACCTGAACATACTTCTGGAGTGAAAAAATATCGTTAACCGGGGGTCCACTGTATATATGTGAGAAACAGTCAAAGGGTTAGGTATAATATGAGCCATTTACAAACAGTACCAATAAATACCAATATATGATACTTATGACTAAGAATATTTAATAAAGATTGTTATTTTTAAGAATGTTTTTATCACAACCTTAAAAAGAATATACATTAAACTGTGTGAACTCTATACTTGATGCTGAGCGAGAAAAATTTTTATGTACCTTCTTTAGGAATAACAGGTGACTGTGTTCGTAACTTACCATACAAGTCTTGGGTCAATCTCTCACTTATGTTGCTATTACTACTATTACTACTACCATTACTACAATTATTACTACTATTATTACTACTGCTGCTGCTACTACTACTACTACTATCAACAAACCAGCTGTATCCAACCAAGGCAGGGTGGCCACCAAGGCAGGGTGGCCCAAAAAGAAAAATGAAAGCTTTCTTTTTAAATTTAGTAATGCATACAGGAGAAGGGGTTACTAGCCCCTTGCTCCTGGCATTTTAGTCGCCTCTTACAACATGCATGGCTTACAGAGGAAGAATTCTGTTCCACTTCCCCATGGAGATAAAGAGGATATAAACAAGAACAAGAACTAGAAAGAAAATAGAAGAAAACCCAGAAGGGTGTGTATATATATGCTTGTACATGTATGTGTAGTGTGACCTAAGTGTAAGTAGAAGTAGCAAGATGTACCTGAAATCTTGCATGTTTATGAGACAGAAAAAAGACACCAGCAATCCTACCATCATGTAAAGTAATTACAGGCTTTCATTTTACAGTCACTTGGCAGGATGGTAGTACCTCCCTGGGTGGTTGCTGTCTACCAACCTACTACCACAGGATGGTAGTACCTCCCTGGGTGGTTGTTGTCTACCAACCTACTACCACAGGACGGTAGTACCTCCCTGGGTGGTTGTTGTCTACCAACCTACTACCACAGGACGGTAGTACCTCCCTGGGTGGTTGCTGTCTACCAACCTACTACCACAGGACGGTAGTACCTCCCTGGGTGGTTGCTGTCTACCAACCTACTACCACAGGATGGTAGTACCTCCCTGGGTGGTTGCTGTCTACCAACCTACTACCACAGGACAGTAGTACCTCCCTGGGTGGTTGCTGTCTACCAACCTACTACCACAGGACGATAGTACCTCCCTGGGTGGTTGTTGTCTACCAACCTACTACCTATAACTACCACTATTATTACAACTATTATTACTACTACTATTTCACTGCTGCTACTACCACCACTATTATTGCAACTATTTTTTTTTTTTTTTTTTTTTTTTTTATTATTATCACACTGGCCGATTCCCACCAAGGCAGGGTGGCCCGAAAAAGAAAAACTTTCACCATCATTCACTCCATCACTGTCTTGCCAGAAGGGTGCTTTACACTACAGTTTTTAAACTGCAACATTAACACCCCTCCTTCAGAGTGCAGGCACTGTACTTCCCATCTCCAGGACTCAAGTCCGGCCTGCCGGTTTCCCTGAATCCCTTCATAAATGTTACTTTGCTCACACTCCAACAGCACGTCAAGTATTAAAAACCATTTGTCTCCATTCACTCCTATCAAACACGCTCATGCATACCTGCTGGAAGTCCAAGCCCCTCGCACACAAAACCTCCTTTACCCCCTCTCTCCAACCTTTCCTAGGCCGACCCCTACCCCGCCTTCCTTCCACTACAGACTGATACACTCTTGAAGTCATTCTGTTTCGCTCCATTCTCTCTACATGTCCGAACCACCTCAACAACCCTTCCTCAGCCCTCTGGACAACAGTTTTGGTAAT